TTGTTTACCAGTTCTTTTCATTACTTAGTTTTCTGAATGATTTGATAATGTAATAGATGTTCCTTACATTCTCCACACTGAGAAACAATTTTAGAACTTATTTAAGTCCTAGTTTATTCCATAACTTACTTTCAACCCACTCAAGCAAACAAAAACGCACTGTTTGCGTATGGAAGTTAGCTTCTTCAAACTTCCAAGAAGCTCCACGCCCTGATTCGGAAGTAAGTCGCACTCTCACACAAAATACAACTCAATTGTTCAGCAAAAATTTACTGGTTTTCAGACGCATTGACATTGCTCTGATGAGAAATATGACTCATCGTCGCAAGTTATGGAAAGGTCTTTTGCACATTCAAACAATATCTTACCTTAATGTTCGCTGGAGGAATCCATCTTAGGTAGCATTCATTCCACAGCTGCACACTTACTATCGATCTAGGGGGACGAATAACATCTTCGAGTAACGTGGTTTCTGCAAGATACAATATAAAAGCAGCTAGTGAATGAGATTCCAATTCTTACCTGTCGCATTCTGCACAGCTATTGCAGCCATATTCGTGACATTCACGAATAGTTGCACGTATTTTTCTTGAAAAAACCGTTCCAACGGGAATGGGCCGCCACATCTTTGCATTCCAAGCTGATCCGCTACAGATGAAGCTGCGAACGCAGGAACCATTCCAGTCAATGATAAGTCCCACAATGCAATCAACGCATGTTGAGAGTAGGCGAACCTTAATGACGCAGCATCTTTGCAAAAAATTCAGATCTGTCGGTTGAGGCTCACAATGCACTTGTGTCCTAACGGACTTTCAACATACTGCATAGGGTAGAGACGAATGAGCTGGGCGAGGCAGTCAAGGAATAAGAGGAATGTCGGTGCAATCATTGTCTCATCGCTTCCGTTCGGGATTCCAAGAAGACGTTGGGCAAACGGATGGCCAAGGGCAATCCACTCTTTTGCAATAAGGGATTCTAGGCCTAGAGTTGAGAAAAATGATTAGTAAGCTGATTTGAGAGTACTTTAGGATACGAACCTATAAGCATTCGAAAGTATCGGTCGCAACAGATTTGTACGAGGCT